GGGATAAAGTTGACACTCTTGAATGTCTTTAAGATCTTGTGTTGCCCGCCTCAGTCTCCCTCTCCCGCCGGGTCTCCCTAGCCTCTCTCCATGGGACCTGATCTCCCATGTCTCTAAATGCACAGAGCCTTTCACGTCTTGGCACCTTTATTCACGCAGCGGCCTCTTCCTGGGTTCCCATCTTCGTTAATGATTTAGCCCCCGGAGAGCCCCTCAAGCTTTCTGATGCACCAGGCTGAAAGCATCACTGGTCTGTGCTCCTTTGGAGTGGCGTGCTTTGCACCTGCGTTGGAATAGTGCATGGATGTCCCCTGGAAAGCAAAGTATGCCACTGCTAGGGAGACTTGCCTGGTGTCAGTGACTTCCTGTGAGCGCCTTGTGATTTATTCATTCCTAAGTGCGTAATTGGTAATGTTTAGTTTAAGATGAACATTTCGCCTTGGGTACACTGGTTCCATGCTGGACAGCTGAGGGGAAGGAGGGTTTGCCACCCCAAATATGCCTGTTTGGGATATTGATTATTTTAAGCAGGTGATTTCCAAGAAAGGACTCAGGAACAACCTTTCACCTTCCCCTTAACTGCCTGAAAGACTTTAGATAGAGGACCTGCTCCAGGAAGGGAGATATCAACTATAATGTGCGTTAGCGTGTGATAGATGAGACCTGCCCAGGCCTGTTTGGTCAAATCCCTCTGTGGGTCTCAAGGTTTAAAGGTGGCCCAGCAAACATTTATTTACCAAACACCTGCTTTTCCATCTCCATGTGAACTGCCTTCCTGCCCTTTAAAGTTCCAAACCACAACCCCCCATCTCTTTAGGTCAAGGTAGCATGTAAACCTCAACTCCCCATTTTTTCCTTGGGTCCCATATTCTAGGGGAACCCCCAAATGTACATGATAAATTTGGTCATTTTCTCCTATCATTCTGTCTCGTGAATTTTTAAAAATATGTTTTTATTGATTTTTTTTAGAGAAGGAAGAGGGAGAGAGAGAAACATTGATGAGAGAGAAACATCATCGATTGACTGCTTTCTGCACGCCCCCTACTGGGGATTGAGCCTGCAACCCAGGCATGTGCTTTGACGGAATCAAACCCGCGACCTCTTGGCTCCTGGGTGGACGCTCAACCACTGAGCCACACCGGCTGGGCAGTCTCATGTCAATTTGATTATTAGACCAGTTAGAAGAACATAAAAGGGTAGAAGGGAAATTACTTTTCCTCCCTTACATAGTTAAAGCATGTCAACACTCATCAGCACCTCCTCCTGGCACTAACCATATTTGTCCTTGCAGGTCTGTGAGTGTGTGTACCCACCGAGTGGCACTGCCTGTTCCTCCTAACAGGGCTCTCCTTACCTCTCTCCAGGTGGCCTCTCCTCCCCACGTCTGTTCATCAGACTTTGATACTGAAGTGGGCGGTATCACTCTTCCTCTGTCCTGACTTACTTAACTGTAAGGTGACAAGGTCAATACCAGCTGGGTGTACAGTTCCATATCATTAAGATAAAATTTATTTTAAAGTGAAAAAGCAGTATCCTTTTTTGGATTTTCCCTGAAAGATCTTCAAAATGAAGTACATTTTCATTAAGTTCTGGAGTATCGAATGGCAGGAAGAAGAGAAATTTAGGTGTAAGAAATGATGGTAGAAGTGGTTTAGAGAGGAAGGAGATTCTGGTTTGGGAAGTCATGTGATGAAATTTAGGCTCAACAGTGGAACCAAACCTCAAAGGTCAAGTGCAGGAATTTGAAGTAGTGGACAAAGGGTGTCTAAAGACAAAGTTTAACTTATGGAGAGAATTTTAGAAGGAGAAATGGATTCAGTAGAAGAAATTTAGCACTGTAAGAATTTTGATGATTTCTTACACTTCAGTACTGAGTCGTCACTATTTTGCCCCTCCAATAGTAGTAATAGCAGAAACAGTGGTAATAATACAATAGAAGTTTGCCGAAGGTAGGAGAGTGGAAAACCAAAATGAAATACATTACATGAATGTAAAGGAAGACCTCAGAGGGAAAGTAAGTTATTTCAGAATAAATAGATGTTGAAGCCGAACAGCTCATTACTCTTCATTCTTTCAGGTAACTTCTGCAAACTTGGAGGTTATTTGTTTACTTAGCAGATGGTACTCGGGTCTTTTCATCTCATCATTTTAGTATTTAAAGTATATTAGAAAGTAGAGGTCAATTTGAGAGCAGCTTAGAGCTAAGGGGAAAGGTGGATAGATATTATTAGAGACACCCTCCCCACCTCCCTGCCTAATCTTAGAAGGTGTTGGCAGAACATGTCCCTTGACTCCGGAGGCAGGGAGTGTGGCCCTTTATGCCACACCATTGATTTCTCAATCAACAGATATCAAATGTCAACACATGGATGATAAATGTCAACAAATATGGTCAACTGAATGTATGAAAAGTGAGGAAACCAAATGTGAGTGCCTGTAAATCCCTCATTGTCCTGAGCTCTTCTCGAATTCCCTGGAAACATGAGTCACTTTTATTGCTTTTAAACATCTGATAATCTGGGTAAATGTGGAACTAACTCTCAGGTCTTTCTGAGGTACTTCCTGGGGGCGG